CTTCGTGCATTAGATAGGCCCTAGCTTCGAATCCCGGGAAGTTCATTAAATACTGACTGTGGTTTTCAAAAGTAGTACACATTTAAATAAAACACTTTTAACGGTTAAAATCGTGAACCTTAATAGTTAAAGTTGTCTAAATGTAAAATACTTGATAACTGTCTGAAACGTGAAATGTATTGGTTAAAATTTATTTCTGTGTTACTTTATTTCGATTGCTTTGCGTACCATTGGAAAAAACTCGACTTTTCTTTGCGAGGATTTTTGGTTGGTCAAAGCGAATGTAGTGATTGGGTCCTTGTGACTACTTTATTTTGGATAGATCATGGACTCACGGTCTTAACAACACTTGAAAAATATTCTTTACAAAAATATTAATTATGTGAGTCATTTTACTATGTCAGAACATGTAACTGCAATAGAAGATAATCTTCTGACAGGCTCGGTGGTCTAAGGCTACTAATCTACTGGTCGTGGATTCCATTCCCACCGGGTCCAATATGTTTTAAATCAATTTGTTTTTTTATTTATTTTGGAGCATGTTGGACCTCGTAAACTGATAATTAAATGTGTGAAAAATGTGAAATCCCGTTTCCCCCTCGTGGGGCATGGGGCGAACACATTTTTGTGTCCGTTTCACTGACTCGTCCTCAAACAGGCAAGTAGGTGATCTGACTTCTGTGCCCTGCCCGACCGAAACATTTTTTTGTTTTCCTGGGATCCGAACCCAGGACCTCTCGCGATTACCGCAATGCGTTTAACCATTTGGCTACAGGAATAGGCAGTGAATATTAAATGCGTGGTAGATATTTAAAAATTATGTCCGGGTCACGGATCACCGTCTATAAATGAAAAAAAGTAAAGCTTATTCGCGTGTTGGTTTCAGTCTGTGGATTTCCGAATATTCAAAGCCAAAGTAGATCAACAGCTTTTCTTGTCAAGATGTTGTATAGCTGGGTCCACCTGCCATCAAATGAACCATGCTTGTCTGTGTGTCTCTATGATAAAAAAGTTATATAAAATAAGCGACTTCGATCGGAATTGACTTGACAAACTACCACTGTAATAGCTTTTTTTATTTTGATTTGGCAGTTGAAACTATAACAAGAATAATTTTTTAAAGGTATTTTCCACAATTTGGCATTATAGCAATGAAAAGGCGAGTATAAATTGAAATAATTTACAATTCGGGCAGGACTTGCCCGGATCGTAAAATTTTTCAATATATAAATGATTTTTAAAGAATAATTTCTATTATAATCTCTTTATTACACAACACACATGACCCTTAAATTGAGTGTAATTGGCAGCTTTATCGCTATTTAGCTATCTCTTGCAAGCAAAACTTTACAGAATAATAAAATAAGAAATCCAAATTGAACCGTTTTAAAATTACATATTGTATCTAGAATGTAAAATCTGACAAATCTAAACGTAAAGTGATATAACAGTCATTAAGAAGTAACGTTAGTACATCTGTGCAGATCCGATTTCTCTGCATTGTTTGTTTAACGAGAAAGATTCTTTGTTTTGTGTGCATGTGTTACAATATTTAAATTGGCTACACAGTATAATTTAAAATCTAATATTATTTTTATTTTGCAAGCATTTGATATATTGACAGGCCTATTTTTAATTTTTTCCCAAAAAAATAGACGAGAACTATGGAAAAATAAATATCACATCCAGTCTTTCCAGTTGTTGATAAATAGAGATGCAATTTACTATGGTAATTTATATTTTAAAAATCTATTCCATTCCGTGCTGATGCGGTAGCTCAGTTGGTTAGAGCATTGTACGGAATGCTGTGGGTGCCGGTTCAAGTCCCGCCATAATAAAGTGCCATAATATTTTTCAATCTAGATAGATTTTTAATTTACATAATTCTACCATGTGTAATACACGTGAAAAATATTAATGTTTTCATACACTACTTATCTATTAAAAAAATATAATAATAATAATTTTGCGTGATCAAAAACCCATTCAATTTTGTTTTTATAATAAAACACTTATTTAACAAATAATTCGAAGTTAAAAAAAAATATTTTTCTGTTAACTTAGTATCGAACCTAACCTACGTGATAACCCCGTTTTAACAAGCGGCAGCTTACAGTGATAAATTGAGTAATATTACATTAGATCTTCGTTGATATAAATGTAGTTCTTCAGCACTTCCACTGATCACAATCAGCTATGGGAAAGGCTTCGAAGGATTTGTCCGCAACGGATGTGGGGGGAAGTGGGGGGTCTCACGGCGACGCACGGCTCACTAACGACCGTTTTTATTTCACTTCCCTCTGTTTTTGTGCACACAATTTATTCGTCTTGCGAGATAATGCCCCGCGTCTAGAGAATAAGTCTTGCAACAATTCGAAATTCGAAAAAGTTTTCATGACCGTTCCATTTTTAAAAATATACGCGACGTCGTTGTTAAGCTCAGTAACTGTACAGTAGATAAAATATAGTTATACCACAAGCTATGCAATTTATTTATTTAATTAATTAAGTATCCTAAGTAGTATCCTACTTTAATTAGACCAATTTCACAAATTAAAAAAAATGAATTTTACTAATTTTAACAGAATCATGTTGTTTTTATATCCTACTCAACTTTATTAGATCTTGTCTTGACGTGAAATTGATTCTCAGTAAAACCATTGAATATGGACAGCGATGCCTGGAGCAAAATGTGAAAGAGAAAAAATACACTCATGCGTTTCAGTGCCTTGGTAGTTCTAGTGAACATAATTTGATAATTATACCTAAATTAAAATAAATATTCATGCTTACTTATTCCGCGGGTTCAATTAACCATAGTGAACCAAACCGACTAAAATTGCTGATATTTCTTCTTGACGTATTAAGTATTTACATTTCATATATTTTTACTTTTATTTCAGTAAAATAAACTTAAGACTCCATTTGGATATCTGTATATTGAATTTTTGGAAAGAATAAAAAACTCTCCGTCCATAGATGAAATCGTAAAAATTGATTAATCTCGTTTCTGTTTCAATCTGTGCATTTCTGACTAGCCGAAGCCAAAATAGGACGTATCTTTTAAATAAAACACTCAAACGGTTTAAAACGCGATATATTAGTTAAACTTATTTGAAAATTATTTTTACCTTCGGCCCGACATTTCGGATGCTTGTGCAGCAGCCGTGGTCACGGGGGTCTCCACGTGGCTTTTAACTAACACGGAAGTTTAACTAATATATCGCGTTTTAAACTGTTAAAGTGTTTTATTTAAATGTGTACTACCCGCGTAAACTATAGACAGGACGTATCTTGTTGAGATGTTATATGGCTGGGGTAACTGACATTAGGTGAAGTACGGAATACCTTTTAAAGTTTAATTTGCTACAATCTACTAATTGTTTAACAATGTTTTCACAATTTTTTTAAATTTTAATAGTTCTATACTAGATACGTTTCCGAACAGCGCTAGTTTTGCGTATAATATTGTTAACTCGCTCTCCTGACGTACGTAGACCTAACAGCGAGCTATTAAATAGCCAATTACGTATACAATATACTCGTTGTAGGAACACAATGTCGCAGCCTAAACGAACCTGCACAGTGCGGAATGAGCACTAACCTTATTACGGAATAATGCATTGACTCGTAATGAGCAAACATGGTCAGGAACACTCGCATGGGCAGAAAATGTGCCTTTAGGCAGAATTCGTTCATCGTACTATACTGTATTTTTTCTAATTTGGCAAAAGACCACAGCAAACATCGCCGATTTTAAACCATAGAGTAAAGTTGCCACAGATGACACAGGGATAAAGAAATATGGATTATATGTGGAAAAACGACCTCGATATTCAAATTCACTCTTTTAATGAGTTATTTTTTGTCATTATTATTAAATATGACATTTATAACGCGATCGTGCGTGAGTAAGACTTTAACTTTCTTTAGAAAGTTTAATTTGTCAATTTACGTTATTTCATTTTTAGGCTCTTCATTCATTTTAACGTGAGATATAAACCTTGTGAGAAAATCACGTATTCATGTAAATTGTGTGTTAGTTTACTAAAAATGCTAAGATAAAAAAATACTCTATAGTTGTGTAATGTATATGTTCGAAAATTATTACGGTATATCACTTTTAACTGTCAAAGTCAGTTGCGCGACTATCGACTCACCTGTAGAACGTCGCCTGCGCCGGGTGTACGCGCTGACAATAGGAATGTAATCCATTTGCATCTCCATTATATTATATAACCAACGCGGTTAGGACACTTTGAGACTTAGTTACGCAGTTCAGAGTTCGAATCCCGGAAATTGTATAAAATGTTGAATCACAATACTTGCCTCGATGAGCATCGGTTCTGCTAAAATTACTAAGCATTAGTCATTAAAACTCGACAAACTGTACTGAAAAAGTGTGGTATATTTAAACCGGAGGTATAAGTTACTTGTTTCTGCTATTACATAAAAAAAGTTCACTCAAACACATGACAGACAGCAATTCATTTGATCCTAGATTTTTCGATGCAATCAACTCAAAATTTCGATCTTAACGCTGTAACGAATTTTGAACGTCGCACGGCATTCAACGTTGTACTTAGTCCCGCCGATGTCTTTATTATTTCATCAAGATTTGACTGAGTAACATTTCGTTTCTAGTAAGTAGGATATGGCGGTGACACTGTATCCATATTTACAGGCTTAAAGCTAATGAGATATCTGGTCACTGCTAAATAACTTATATATTGAAGTGTTTAAACATTAAGCCATTGAGAAGGCGAAGGCATAAAGATAATATTAATAAATTCTATTGGTGTAATTAACATATCCTATAATACGCTTATTTTATCCTTTTTATTGATTCTTTCTTTTCTTTAACAAAACATAGCGTTCAATTCTATACTAATTGGCTTTCTGTTCCTTTATTGTTCTGTCTTTTGTTTTGGTAAGTATTCATTCGATATAAATAAAAAGTGACTATTGTTATAATAAGTATGGATTACGTCGTAGCAGTGCTACGCGGCGGGCGCTACAGACGCGTTAGTCGCGAGAGGAATACCGTCGCGCATAGACGTGTCTGCTACGCGGAGAAATTCGAATTCGAAATCCGAATTAGTTCGAAACAACATATCAGCGGTGTTGTGTTGTGCAAATACGTGTTGTTTGTGTTGACCCTGCTGTTGTTGCGCCATTGTGCAGCCATGATCAAGATGAAAAGGATTTTTCATCTTATCTTTCGGCTCCTGTTTTTGCTTGACGGTAAGAGGATTTGTTGGGACTATTCAAACTAATATATGTATAGGTTTTACACAAGGATTTTATTAATATATAATTATTTAATTAGGTAATTTCATTATAGTTATTTTTTTTCTTTTATTTAAATTTAAAACGGAGATTGTATTAGGGAATAATATTTTATTTTAGTTATTATAAATACACAAAAGCAATCTGAAATAGAATGTTTGTGACTTCTTCTGAAATTATAATAAACTGACAGATTCTATCCTTATTTATAAGGTCGGAATGTCACACTAATGAGTGTATACATTTATAATGTATATTTTAATACATCGGAGACAAGGCGTATATCAGTCGTATGTCAAAGTAGTGTAAATTAAATCCGTAGTCGTGTTACAACAGTGTTAATCTCGCTTAATGTCGAATGAGAGATTTTAATTAAAATTTGACTCTTGTAATGAGTCTCGGGACAATTAACAATTCTGTGTCCGATTTAAATCAGAAGAGAATCAAATGAGCCCTTTTCAGTTGGAATTTAAAGTTTTGCAAACGAATTTAAACCGGCGGCCGCACCCGACACTTAAAGCATTTTTATGAATATTAAAGAAGTTATATTCTTGCGCTTTTAGCTTTCTGAGCTTCAGAATGTATAATTCGTCTATGGAATAGTTTTTGCGACTTCATTCTTAGTCCTTATTTGATTTAGTTATTCAGCAAGGGAACACAGTTTATAATAATAAAAATGGAAGTATGGCATGGTTTACAAATTTGATTAGGTACATTACTTCAATTAATATTAACAAATGAAGAGATCCTTAGTCATAATTTCTTGAGCGTTGCACGCGGGTAGAATTGTAAAAATAATGTTGATTTGTATAGTATTCTCAAGTAGGTGATCTTGTATCTTTTTTTGAGAAATAAATGTCTTTAAACTTTAAAATGTCTTTAAACCTTAATTGTTAAGTCAAACTTTACGAACATTCTTAGCATTGTATCCCATATTGTTACCCTTATCAATTATCATTTAAATCTCCATTAGACAGTGTTTAATACGTATTTTATTTGTAAAATATAATTATAATGAAATAACTGGCAAGTGTGTTGTTAACTGGCAATGGACGTTTACTTCTCAATCTCTATATTTATACATTAGAAGCCGAAACTTTTGATCACCCTCGGATGGCAGTGCCCACTTATTTACATTTTGACGAGCTGTTTGATGTAATGGTAGCAATGTACGGCTAATAATCGTAGGTTCGATCCCCGAGGGGTCCAACAGTTTTTTAATCAATTTATATATATAGTTTGGAAATCTGGATATTAAATGGGCGGTAGGAATATCGAAATTGCGACGGGGTCTCGAACCACCGTCCACAGATGAAGAAGCCGAGAAGTTGAATCACGTTTCGGTTCTAATATGTAGATATCCGAATATCCAAAGCCAAAATAGATCGACACCGCATCTCGTTTGGATGCTATAGGCTGAGATGTTTCACCTACTATCAAGTGTTCCTTACGGTTGTCTTTCCTCCTATATTATTTAAAAAAACACGTTATGTGGCTGGAGCATGACACCTACCATCAAGTAAACCATGCTTCCTTGGTATACTACATCTTTTAAGATTATCTTGCAAAAAAGGACGCGGACGACGTCATGAGTAACACCTTAAATTTAGATGTGAACAGGAGGTTTGCTAAAACTAATTTTGACCCCATTGTCTCCCCGTGACCGCGGCTGCTGCAATGCATCCGAAATGTCGGGCCGAAGTTAAAAATCATTTTAAAATAAGTTTAAATAATATATCGCGTTTTAAACCGTTAAAGTGTTTTATTTAAACAAAATTTGATGCAAGAAAAAACATTCTACGCGGATGAAGTCGCTGACACAGCTTGTGAAATGTGAGCTTGGTTATTTCTACACCTTATTATACTTTAAAATATGCTCAGTTAAAAATTCATTAAAACATGAATATTATAAAATACATTTAAATACTGTCTGTAGCTTACACTAGTAGTACAAGTTTAAAGAAATAACTTTAACGGTTTAAAACACGATATTTATTAGTTAAAATAATAAATTATATAAAAAAAAGTTAAATTGAAAATTATAGTAACTACGGCCCGATATTTCGCCCCGTGACCACGGCTGCTGCATCCGAAATGTCGGGCCGTAGTTAAAATAAGTTTCACTAATATCGCGTTTAAAAATGTTAAAGTGTTTTATTTAAATACACTTAATTCAACATGTGTTCCTTCACAGTCCGGTCCACTCAGTCCGCGACTGGGACATTTACAAATGAAATGATTCCGAGTTTATTATGCTTTCATTTCCTCAACTAAACAGAAATGTTCCCACTTCGACACCTTATTTATTGCACAGAGACTGAATTCTGTGAATTAAAGTTTCTTAATAAGAAAAATTCGTGGCAATTTGTTTTGGTTTAGATCTTAGTAGCACTTATTTCTTGTGAATGACGTTGAATATATAGTTGTTAATAGTTGGCACACACTGCAGATTACAAGGTCTTCGAGTTTGAAACCTGGGTCGGGCGAATTGTTGCCTCAGAGAGAAAATTTCTATTATCTCGAAGTTAAGAATTAGAAGTGTAGATGCCGGTTCAAGTCCTGCCCGAGTCAATTTTTTTTTTTCGATTTTTAATCTATTTATTGCCATCATGTGGAATAACATGAAAAAAATATGAAAGTTTTCAAGTAAGTGTCTTTGCCCTCTTACCTCGTACCTGGTGAAAACAGTAGTTGTTGTATGTGTTAGTAGGTAGTCAAGCCTACCCGCTTTTAGTATAGTAGATGTAAGGTAGCTACAAGAAATAATAAATTAGTTGTAACTGCACCTTGTCTTTATCTAGTCACAACAGTAGTATCGGCTTTTAACACTCACTTAGTAGTGATAGTTGCTGAAATAGAGCAAACCCCAGTACAGGAGCGAGGGAACAATTCATTTATATTGAAGCAAATACAGTTGTTTTAATTTCACTTGGTCAAAAAAAAACTTTGAAAATATTACTAATATTATAAAGATGAATAGTTTGTTTCTTTGAATGCGTTAACCTCGGGAAGTACTGGTTCGAATTGAAAAAATATTTTGTGTCGGTTGGACTATTTACTGAAAAAGGCTTTCAGCTAAAAACATTAGGTTGTGACTAATAGGAGCCTAGAAATAGAGGAAAGTGTGAGAATGACGGGGTAATCTTTGTATCTTTCGAAAACGGTTCAAGAAATAAAAACATATATATGAAAGAAAGATTAATTTTTAAGTGATCTAAAAAAATACCTACGATAGTATACATCTGTCCAAAATAACTAATCAACGCGGACAAAGTCGCGGGCTCAGCTATAAATAAACATACACTTACTCAAAGATTTTATTCCGTACTAACTACACCCTAATGTACAATTAACAATGATGATAACATCAGTAAAGGGGTCCTACACGGCTATTTTAATTTATTATAAGTGATCTGTTGATCAGTTTTCTTGCCCAATATACAAAATACACACACATAATCTGGCTGCACACAAATGCATTCCTTGGAACACAAGACGACAGCCGACGTTATTTGTCTCAGCTAATTGTAAATGCAACACTTCCAACGCAGCACCGCGTTTCAACCCATTCGTTATTTTCTCTTTAAAATCTATGTTCGCCTGGTATATATTCGAACTATTGTGTTAAATAGATAGGTACATTACTCTTCGTCCCACTCCCATGGCTGGGACTGAATGTGTATAAGGGTTTAAGCCTATATACACCACCCTGGCTTATTGCCAGATGTATGTTGGTTGTCACTATATTCGTAGTACAATATAATATTTGTTATTGGCATATTAAATATTTAAATAAAGCACTAACGGTTTAAAACGCGAAGTATTTTAGTTAAACTTATTTGAAAAATATATTTTAACTACGGTCCGTCTCCCCGTGACCACGGCTACTGCAAAGCATCCGAAACGTCGGGTCGTAGTAAAAATAAATTGTATACGAGTTAACTAAGATCTGTCGCGTTTTTAACCGTTAAAGTGTTTTATTTAAATGTGCACTACTCGCGTGTACTACAGACAATACTATTTATTGTAAAAGTATTATAAAGTACGGAAAAATACTATATATATTTTGTACAGGTAAATCAATCTTGTTTTTCAACATTTCGCCGAATAAATATTTGCAACATGTAGACACAACTTGGTTTAAAAAAAAAAAAAAGTTATATCATTGTCTTTCGGGCTGTTCGGCCGACGTGACCGAGAAGAGTTTCACACAATATATTAAGATAGAGTTAATTTAATTAAAACAATCCTAAAGGTTTGAAACACTTAACACATTAGGTAAAATTATTTTAAGTACGGATTTTATTATCTGAGTTCTATAATTATTTACTAATAAAGCTCTACAAACAATTTAACCGTTAAATATATTCCTAAACTTATTAGTAACCATACCCTGATCTTTAGGATGTAGATAGGTTTAAAGATAGATGACAATACTTTGCGTTTTAAACTGTTAAAATTGCTTTTTCTGTGTCCACATGACTACGACTGCAAAGTATCCGAAACGCCAGGTTGTAGTTAAAACAAATCGTAAAAAAGTTCTATATATTTACTTATTTTCCGAATTATGTTTATGTATCGCGTTTTAAACCGTTAAAATTATTGAAAGAAGGTATGTGTTTTGTGAAATAAATGCTTTTAGTTTAAGTTAAATATTCCCTCTAATTAATAAGTACGTATAATAAATTCCGTATAATTTTACAAGCGTATTCGAACTACTTTGTGAAATATGAACAATAACAGCATTATGTAGAGACCTGTTAAGATAATTTCCCCACGGAATACTCACTGCACTTCGATATTCACAAAACCTTTGATAAAAGTTAAAATATGGACTCTCTATCTTATTGCTTTTGCGTGCCTGATACGTTTTCTATTGAATTACAACATTTTATAAGTGTGTAAACCCGTTTCCCGCCGTCAA